AGGCCTTTCCATATGTGGAATGCGCGTGGCACGCGGCGTGAACGTCGGGTCTGGCGCGGTGTATTGCAGAATGTATAGCGAATGCTGCAGCATTGATCGGTTCGTTGCCTTCCACTACTTCACCTGCCTCGTTGACAAGGATAAGATCGGAGACGCGTATGAGGGAGAAATGCGTTGAGAGAGGGTTGAGCCCTGTACGAATAGATCTGTCAGTATGAGGCCCTGACGACGCCCGAGACTTCGCACCTCTCACACTTCGACCTATATGCCCAGACTTTAATATAATGACATTCTGGGACTGCATCCTCCGATCCTCTGACACCCCTTCCCCCATGAGACATTAAATGCGAACGCAGTTGACCCTGCTGAGCCAACAAGTAAATTCCAACCTACAAAAGTGATCGGTCAAGATCGGGTCCCTAACCGAAATATGCCCTGCAACTCCCTCATCGAAGCCTCTCGCCGCGAAGACGCGATATGCGGCCGCTAGATGCTGCTTCCGGTACAAGCGCTCCTCCTCCAGCGTAGCGAAGGTAGGGTACCTCCGGACCTTGAGAGCTTTTCCTGAGGTTGTACGCCCCATGGCGGCTACAACCTGGTTCGAAGCTTCTTCGGCATGATCGACGCGAAGCGATTGAGCATCTGCTATGGAAGCTTGGAGGGTGGGAGAGGTGGTGGTGATTCGTCGGACGTTGGTCCTGGTAGACCAGATTGATCGAGCTCGCAAGGAAGGAGCGTGGTCGAGCTTGTGGATCAGGCGAGGAATCTGCATACGAGCTATGTTCATCGTGAGTGCTGTTTGTTAGTTGATAAGAGAAAGACCTCCAATTTGAATCTTGAGGGGTTTGATGTTGATGCGTGAGACCTGGGAATCGTAGCCCTCCAAGGTTCCCCGCAACCGGAATAATGGAAACTTTATCCGGACTAGAGTAGGCTTTTCCGTACACTAGTCATCTCCGGATACCTCCAGCGATGGCCCTTGAGAGCTTACTATCTCGGCGAAGCAGCATCCGAGGGAGGTGTTGTGGGAAAGGAGAACGAGTCTTCTTGGTTTCATTGAAGCGAAAAGCATCAGGTCACGCTAGCGTGCAAGCGTCCCTAGCGCAACCCTGGAACGATGTCCGGTCTAGACAGCGAGATCATGTAGCACTCTTCACCTTTCAGTATCTCATTCTGAAAATCCAAACGGCTTGGTATATTCTCGTTACGAATACCGTCAGAGTCAGACCTTACTTGGCGTGCTCAAAAGCGCGGGGCGCTGTCCTATTCACACGTTGACTTCAGGAAGCAACGACGGCCATGGCCATCACGAGGGTCAAGATATCAGCCGCCGATAAATTTCCCTGTCACTTGCACGTTGCACAGTGATGTTAGGTTTCCCCTCTTTCTGTCGAGCTGTCACTTGCATCTTCGCTTCTCACTCTTGAACAATGTCAAGCTTCGTCTAGGAGTGCAAATGCTCCACCAGGAAATTCCGCCAAGTCCAGACTGCTTTCTACGGCATCCATGAGGTCCGATCCCTTGGCGTTGTGTATGAAGGTTGTTGGGTGCACATTGTATCCGGAAAAGCGGCTAATTGCGGTGGCGTAATATCTTTGGGGGCATTGTTCATGAATGGCCATGTGCGCTGGTGTAGCACAAGCAGGGTTTGTTGGGCCACTCACCATTCTTTGTTGTAACACAGAGAATGTCAATGGCTCCATGTGACGCATAACATCCCCTTCAGCTGCAACTTCAACTCGAACGTTATAACTTTCCTTTCAACATCTTGGAACTTGCATGTATTACAAAATGCGTCAACCGACTCAGTCACCCCTCTCTCCTGGCGATATCGTCGGTATCGTGATCTCTGTCTTCTTCGTTGTGTCCCTATCAGTCGCGCTGCTCAGATGGGGGATTCATCGCAGGTCGAAGCGTCAAGCTGCAGCTGTGCTCGAGGGCTCACAGAGTAACCAAAAAGCCCCCGGAGAAACCAACGTGTAATAACTGAATCATGTTCAAAGCGTAAGTACAGGAGCTGTTCCTATCGTACACATTCTGAAGCGTAGACGCAGCAATCAGGCGTGAGATCAGCTTGCACAATACCGTTGCATGGTGGATGTCTGCTTGATTACTCGAGAGGAAACATTTCGTCTTTGTTGTTGCTTACTTCCGATTATGACTGGGGTTCAGATCTTTCTTGTAAAATGTTCCATGAATCAATATTTCGTTCTCATATTATAGCCTTAATACAAGCATGCTGGATTCAAAACTTCATGGTGTTGTTCTTTTTGGAAAGTTGTACAGAAATCGAGTATTAATAATGCTGTTATTTTGGAAAAAGCGATCGTGAGCTTTCGTTGCCCGATACGCATCGGATCACCAGCCGCTAAGTCCCCAAGGTAGTCAAGGTTCACTGTGTTCGAGTGCGAGACTTTCCACAAGCTTGTGAGATGAGTGAGGGTTAGGTATTCCATTGCATGCACAAAGATAATGATGAGTTGCGCATACGAAGGTATTGGTAGTTCAAAAAGCACGGACCACAGAAAGTGTCTAGACGTTGGCGCCCACCCTCCGTTCCTCGGACACCTTCCACAACAACAATATACGTACCCACTCTTCAGGATGTGCAACGTCGAACAAGTAGCTGCCGACTTTCGATGGAAAACTCGCACGCTGGCTTGAAGATTCGATGCTGCTCTTCCCCTCGCCGCCTCCCTAGAATAGCGGCTTGACCAACTAAATCTCATAAGCGCCGACGAATCTTTGTTCCCTCTCGATACCTAGGTACAACACGAATCGGCGTCTACCTATTGATCGTTTAGCATGATCGAAGCTTGCGGCTTGAAAAATAACATTAGGTTTCTTCAAAAACTAATGCGTTGTTCAACGTTGGTATCCCAGGACATGTCTTCAATGCGTTTGTGAACACTTGACGAGGACACAAACGCTATAACAAAACTCTTAACGGAACGCAAAGCGGCATTACAGCGTCGCATATTGGTGGAAATTCGACAGTTCGCTTCGTCGTCACTCTTCTGTTCACGTTGTGCTTCAGGTCGTGCATGATCGACTGCAGGGGTTCACTGGTGGGACCCGGTTATCGCGAAAAAGCTAACAACCGTCAGCATCTACTTCAACCTGGCTCCACTGCACAGTCGACGAAAATCCCTTCGTTATCGTCAATATTCACGCTCGGGGTGAGGTGTGCCTGAACGCAGACTGTTTCCTGCTACCACGTTATCAACAATTGCATCTTCCCGAGGTTGTAGCAGACCCGAAATTTCGGACAGCATCCCGAAACATCAATGCACTGTCCGATCTCACCATCGCGCAATCCCCAAACCCACTCTCTGACAGTTAACACATCCATCCTTTCCTAAATCCATCTCGTCAGATTCAATCTAACTCGTCGATTGGAAATCAAGCTTTGCTCCCACAGAAAGCTTAGCCTGTAAGACCAGCAGTTCTGGACCTTGGGCAGGGATGGACGATGATATTGCCAGGGGCCCAGGAGGCTTCTTTGGCGGCTGTGGCAACTGTCAACGGTCTCAGGTGGAGCTTGGTGAGGATGAAGGTTGTTGTTGAATGACGAGGCGGCGGAGTCTGGCGGTAAGCGAAGGTAGGGAGCGAGAAAAGGGCTGGATGCAATGATTCGAGTATCTGCAAGGTCGAGTATAAGTATTCGTGTCTGCCAGCCTCACCTACATCCATCACTCACTCAGCCAGTGAACATCATCTCAGCTTCTTTCGCACTTTCTCTTCTCTCTTTCTTCTCGCCTCGGCGCCTTACATTCTTTCGAGTCTGGTCACTCACTTATTGATTGCTATCCATACCTTTCCAAACAGTCATTACTCAATTACTAAACATCTATTACTCAATCTTCACCCCATCACTCAACATGAAGACCGCCATCATCATCTCCACCCTCCTCTCCCTCGCCCTCGCCACTCCTGTCCATCCCCGCCAATCCAACCTCCAACCCTTCACTGGGGCCCTCGGAGGTATCACCGCTACGCCCGTGCAAAACTCTGGAGATGCGAAGCGCCCCTTCCTTGTTAAAGGAGATACATTTGTGAACATCGGTGCCGCGCTACAAAGGAGCTGTGATCAACAGTTCAACGCCTGTGCGAACGCTGCGAACGGAGGTGACGCAACGTTGAGTGTTTCTGGCTGCTCTACTCAGAAAGGTATGTCCGGTATTCTATTAGAGACTGGACGATGTAACTGACTGACTGTTCATCAGATCAGTGTACGGCTGCGGACCAGGGCGTTAATGGGAGCGCGGCAGCTGGAGGCGCTGCGGCAGGAGGTGCTGCAACTGGAAGCGCTGGCGGAAGCGGTGCCGCTGGAAATGCGGGTAACGCTACGCAGGCTGGTGCTACAGGGGCTTCGTGCACAAAGAGGAAGGCTCGGCAGGCGAACAAGAAGGCCAGGCTTCCTGCGCAGTAGAGCAATCGTGGTTGAAGGATAGCTCTGGTATGAGAGGAGGTAGGGTTAGAGAACAACTCTGGCATGAGAGGAAATCGGGTTGCGAAAATGATGATGATGATGGGTGCTGAGACGAGGAGGTTGAAGGAAACAGTACTTGTGTTCATCGTTAGTGTATAAATATCTTGAAGAAGAAGAACCCTGGCCCCTAGATCATCTTGAGAGCGAAAACGAATGTACATGTACCCTAACTTGGTCTTTCAAATTGATATCTCGATAATGCACTTTGAGATTCCTAGGTGGCGAACCTTAGTATCGTTCATTTGGAGTACAAGAGTAATGCTTAGTGGAGTGCCTATAGTCGAAGGTGTCCTAGACGTTTTGATCTGTCTGGAATACCTGGATCGCGACGTCAGATCGCATTGAAGAAAGACTTTGTCTTTCCAGCCTGTAATACGCAAAACTCATCAATCGTCTCATAAGAATAAGCCCCCAAAAGCTCATGGTCATATTGGAACGAGGATGGGCAGCGGTGAGCATAGTGCGTGAAGGCAAAAAACATACCAGTAGTTGGGACAGCAAAAAGAAATGACTCAGCCGAGGCTTGAACTGTTGTTCAGTCAGAAAATGATTCTGGGCTTTATCATTGGATAACTCACCTCGGGACCTTCAGTGAACTAACGATGTTAGACTGACGTGATAACCAACTACACCACCGAGCCTATTGAAATGTGGACACTTTTCAGCGATGCAAAACTTATATAGTAAAACAAATCTAGCATCCGGGTGTTAAAATTCTGATCAAAATGTTGGGAAAAGTGGTGTAACGGTGTGGGGTCCGCGTAAGTGGGGTCAGTATCGGCGGATGGCCCGGTCTCGCCATCCGTGGATGAATTGCCCAGTTGAGCGAGGCCGACTACGTGACCTGCCATTCATATTGTGAACCACACATTGATCTTGATATTGATTATGAGACATCCAGCATCGATTTCTTTCTTGAGATCTGTCAATTTCTTTCTTGAGATTTGTCAACTAGACCACAGATCTATGAACTGCGCGCGCCAATTCAAGAGATGGCCTGGCTCGGGCATCTTTCGGCTCTGGCAGGATTGCCCATGCGTTGTGCCCCTCGCGTCTCATGTTCTTCATCTTCTTCGTCTTTTCCATCGCGATGCGCATCTCCAATGTTTACCGCATAGTATATGTGTCTTTAATTCGATTCGATAACTAGGCAAAGGAATAGTGACCGACTCCGACTGTATACCACTGCATCGGGTGCCTGCTCAGCACCCCAGATTCAATATTCCCAGATTTACCACGCATCTACAGGATTACGCCCGGTCACATATCGTGCAGATCGAGGCACGCGCTCGTGATTCTGAGGGAGTCTATATGGCCTGCACCTAAAGCTAAGTGTTGTCCGGTTCGTCGTCTGCCTTTAGCAGGCTAAACTAGCTGTGCCTTCCCCTCACTCACCTGCATGTTGTTAGATGAGTCCCCATGCCTCTACGCTTCCAGATAGAGACGGGGCGGTGTTCATGATCGTTGGTGTTGGATGGAATCTTCCCAAGGTCGGGGCAGGTGTGCAACGTGATCTCGAATGCTACCTGTAAATTGGTACGGGGTATATTGGCTCGGCGAACACAAGCATCAGAACGCGATAGGTCTAAAGATTGTTGCTGAAATAGGTCAGGGAAAGGTCGGAGCGCGATATCAGGATCAGTGTCTAAATTTCATCAATGAGGCGTGGCACGGAAGGCGAATTAGCAACCTGGATAATCGATATCGAAGGGATCGAAAACATCATCCTGCATACAAGTCAATATCGACTCATTATTGGGGCTTCTTACGCCCTTTAGCAATGCTCACACCAAGTATCGAGCAGGTCGTTGTCCATATAAATACCCCAGAATCCGTAGCCAACTGCTGAGTACTTTGATACGTCTGTCGAGAACAAGGTTAACAAGCTGATCAAGAGCGAATTCGCTCAACCGCACCATGCTTTCTACTGTCTTCTCAGTCATCGGCCTCGCTCTGGCTACGCACGCCGCCAACTTCCCATACCCTGAGAACTCTACCATTGTGCCCGTCAAGTACAGTGGCAGCGGGTGTCCTCTCGTCAGCACTGACCGCCGCACTTCTGTTGTTGACTACATGTTTGGAACTTCTGATACAGACACAGGCATCTGGAACTATGGCCTGAACCTGCCACCAACGCTGGGCCCGGCTGTTTGGAGCGATATTGACGAGTCGTATCGTGTGTGTTCTCATGAGTGGAAGTTCGTAAACTCTGATGGCTACCGATTGGTCGTGGATAGGAACGGGACTGAGATTCTTGCTCGATATCGCATGAAGGAGGGTATGACTGTGACCTGGAAGGTCACTTACACCCACCCGGATGGCAGCGAGGTATTTGTGCTCTTTGACGCTTGGTACGAGCTCCACTAAACAACGGTTAGAATGTCGATACTGTTTCTGTCAAAGGTCCGCTCGGTGGACCATACTCCAGCTCCGCATTCGCATCAGCTCCTGGTCGGCTGTTGTCTGCTCCTCCCGAGAAAGCTTTCAAGACTGGTTGTGCGCAAGATGACCACGTTGTCAAGATCAAGACTGAGGCCAAAATTGAAGGCACCGGTAACTGGGGCCAAGTTTGGGGAGCGAACGAGGGAGAATTCTACAATCGGATCATTCAGACACTGTCGTATAGCTGGGAGAAGTGTGAATAGCGTTCTTCGATGCTCAAGCAGGCTCGGAGCGTTGTCCGGATTTGCGCCTATCTTGTGGATCCTTCAGCAGTCTCCACAGACAAAGTATCAACTAGTGGCTAGCTGGCACGCTACGAATCTGATCGTGTTTTCGAGTTCCCAAGAAGTTGCTACTGCCACCAATGCTTGTTGAGTCTGGGGAGAATGTCGCTCTTGCGGAGTAGAATGGGGCAACACGTGGCACCCAATTCTCTTCTCCGCACTTGGAGATTGGCTGGATCTACCAGATTTTGAGGGTACTGTGCTCCGTATCTTCACAGAAAATTGCTCGTAAGAAGGACGTGACAAAGGTGACGAACAACGCTGGCTCACTGGTGGGCTTCAGCTGGAAAAGAACTGGAAGGAACGAAGGACAGTACCGCGACAGAAGTAGAGTGCGTGCGCATCCTTACCTACACCTCGTCATCATTTCTCCACCGTACTCTACGAACCAAGAGCCTTGTCTCTCGCCAAGAGCATATTTCCGCTCTCTTGAGACCCAGTCGTATGCTTCCGGCGGGAGGAATCGCTCTCCAAGACATGGCAAGTCCTCTTCACAATCTATCTTCGTCAACAGACATGATATTGCCATCAAATAAGGGCCTAACATCATCGATTCCGCCTCTGCATATGCGCCCAGAGTCTTGTCGATGGCTTCAAATAGCAATCTCCTCGGCGATGAGACAGCCTAAAGCATGCTCATCACAACAGAACCGCGTAAGCTGCGTGCAATCGCATCGCCGCCACTCGCAGCAAGGATGTCTGAGCGCAAAGCTGACACACACCTCGTCACCGCGAGTTGACGTTGTGCCACTAGTGCGCGGAGGGCCAAGAAGGGAAACCGTCGCACCTTTGCCGGAGAATCGACGTCTGGACGTCCTTCGGGGCGGGCCAAGACCTTTTCTCGCCTGCGTGCCTGACACCTCCACTCTTGGTCTCTTGCCAACCTCGCATCAACCTATCCCCAGCCTCCGAAGCATCTTGCTGCTCCACTTGGCCAACACGCTTTTCGTCTCGACGAAGCTTCCATATCGCGAAGCTCAAGCGCCCAGGCATGTCTCTTTGCGACCCCGTGGGACACGTTGCCAAGTGCCGCTACCTCGCTCGTTCACGCCTCCGTGCCTAAGGACAATGGGCAACGCTTATCCGGTCACAAGATCGGTCTAGCTGTCACTGAGGCCTCTGCTGTGAATAGCGGAGACTCACCCGCACTTGGCAAGTCAAGCCTCGCGGAGACACTGCTTGGGCTCATTTGCCATGCCATTCGTTGAGTTCATGCATATGCGACCGTCCTATTGACCTGAACTTCGAGTATTCTGGGGGTAACTGTAGACAAGGTTTGCGAAGTCTACTAGCTGCCACACCTCAGCACCTTCGACGCGTGAGTCTTCTCGTGAAGCAGAGCGGTAACTCGAACAATCTTGCTAGTACCTGCTAGCTGATCGAGGATCTTGCCGGTACGGCTGGAAACAAACATCACGACCATCACCGTGCATCTGCGTCTGCGCTTCGATTCTTGCTTCTCGGAACCAATGCGTGACAAGATGTGCGGCCCAAAGTAGCTAGACACCTTGGCTGCAACAAGAGCAATCGCCCCTCTTGAGGCTCGAGACCTCGTGCACGGCCTCGCCAACACTGTCTTGTACCCGTCTGGATGCGAGCGCCAGGCTTATCCCATCTTGGCCCGGCATCACAGAAGTTTCGAGCAGGGCTTCAAACGGCGGGAGGTCCTTGGCGAATGGCCAATGACAGTGATTTGGGTTGACTCCCATGCCAATCCTGGCGATTCTTGGCCCGGCCTCACAGAAGTTTCAAGCTCGCCTTCAAACGGCGGGATTGCCTTGGCGGGGCTTCCCATCAGGACGACGACGCATGGTACATCGATTCCATATAAGAGCAATGTCGAATCCACCTGGTTGAGTTCTGTAGTCCGGCCACTCACCTTCACTTCTTACCGATTACTCCTAATCAGTCTATTCTGTCGCCGGGCGATAGTCTTTCTTGTCTTTACCTTTACTTGTTTTCAGAAAGATCACGTACTCGTTACATTCTCTCTTTTCACATCACCAACTTCGATCTTCTCTGAATCCTTAGTCGAAAGTCTATAATTCAACTTACCCCAACCGACAAAATGCTTCCTCAACACGTCCTCCTTGCCCTGGTTGCGGCCGTCTCTGCCGTACCCCTCAACATCAACCTTGGCGCTTATTCTCCCGCCCTGGTAGTCGGTGATGGTGAAATCTCGCTGGGATCTACGGAAAGTGCCTCAGAGTTGATGGCCACGCTCGCTTCTGGCGCGAACGAGGGAGCAGCAGGAGGAAATGGTCAACAAGGTCAGCAAGAAGCGACAGTCGAGGCCCCACAGGAGGCTCAAGCCGAAGAACAACCAGCTGAGGGTGACGCAGCTAAACGGGCTCTCGCCCCCACCGTCCGCACCGTCGACCATCTCGGCAAGCGTAGCCCCGCCGCCGACGAACATATCGCGGCCGTCGAAAGTGCCATGGAGTGGATCAAGCGTGACATCAATGGCTTCAACGCAGCCCTTACGTACGCCCGCGAAGCCATGAAGAACACCCCCAAGATCGAATTGGGCTCCCCGGGTGCTGGCGTTGGTATCGTTGTCAACGCTGGTCTCGACGTCCCTGCGGATTCCGCCGCCAACGGCGCCAACCCGAGACAGAAGCGAAGCGAGGTCGTCGCCGAGGAGTCAGAAACGCCCAAAATGACTCTCGTGGCTATCACCGAGGTCTGAACGGTTGGGTTGATTCGGGCTTGATACCCCTTGTAAGAGTTATTCACGCGAGAGATGTGCATGCGTGGGGATGCAGCCAGGGGATGGCAAAGACGGTGCACGACCAGTTTCCTTTCGATCTACGAGCTTGTTGGAGGGTGGCAATACCATGGAGTGTTCAATATTCGGGTTACTATACAAGTAAAGGGTGTGGGCGTATGGACTATTGGAGCGGGGTGTAGAAAAG